TATCGTTGCTAAAAAGAGCAGAACAAAATCAAAATATAATATACCATAAGTAGAATCCACCAACTTGTTCGGCACATGAAAACCTCTGTTTGTATAGAGATGCGTACATATACTAAATGCATTTGAAAAAATTCTTTAGACTATATGTTACCTAGAATGTGGATAATTTTGATACATTGAGTAAATTGAAAAGTCCAGCCCACACTTTTTCTTAAAACCCAGGCATTAAGGAGAAGGAAACTGGAGCCTTATAACCAGCACAGGTGAGGCAACTTTAGGTGATGTGGGACACATTCCAACACACCATCCTAGACCACAACATACACTAGCCAGGCAAACGACACACCAATCATAGGCACCACCATTGATGAAGGTGTGGCAGAGCTCGTCCCTGGAGAGGAAATAAACAAGGTTGTTAACCGTTATATTGATGAAAGTGTGGGTTGGCCTTTTCAATTGAACGGGAAAGGGAACGTGGTACGCCACATGCTCTAAAATGTAGTATGATAGGTGTAGACTTTAATAGATTACATTATACAATTTAAGTTAAGAGTAATATTCTTTTAACAATTAAGTATTTGATAAAATATAATTTTTTTCCCAAATTAATTATATAGCAACACATTTCTATGAGCATCATGACCCATTTTTGACATTTTCTCCTATCAAAACTTAACTGACCATAGATTTTAATTCATTACGCTTGATTTTTATTCCTCCTAAAGAAACATTTAAGGAAATATATTGGAAAAAGTTTTGGGATCGCTTCGAAATTTGGATCACTAAATTCACCATTTTGGAATGATAATATTCCATGTTTTGAAACATGTGTTCCAAAACGTGATTCGCTAGAGTATTTGTGTTTTCTGATAAACACTAAGACTAACTATGCATTCTGCTCAATAAGAATTATTCCAACACAAATTAAGGTTATTTTGATGAAGCATATATAAGAGATGTGGACTTATGCTTGATTATGTGTTTATCAGGTACCTTCATCCTTTATGGTGCAATCAACCTACTGGCTATCTTGTTCATTGTTATGGTGGTTCCTGAAACGAAAGGGAGAACTTTGGAACAGTTACAGGCCGCCATCAATATTTAAGAAAAAGGACGAGAAGGAAGAGCCATTATTTCCAAATAATTTTTAATTTGAAATTTTGAACCTCATTGCACTTCTTAAGAGAGAGAAGATGGTTCAAAGCCACAAATGAAAGATGGAACTCAGTATTTGAACATTTTATCCATGAGAAATAAGTGAAATCATCAAGATTTACTTTATGTCTCTCAAGATTTTATATAATTCATATCATTTTGACGTACATTTTTTTTCATAGCATCATAAATGGAAATCACAAAGCAATTATATGTAACTCAACTGTTTCCATCTGCTTACACTTTTTAGGATGTTTTTCAATTATCTCTATGAATTAAGTCACCACGAACAGATAAGACTATTGAATTTCACATAGTTTAGTAAGAGGTTTTGCCATTTCGGATCCATGGCATCCCACCCACCCAAAAACTAGTATCTATGTTTCAACCTTCTCTTTCAAAAGCATATAATGAAATCCTGTTTATAAACTGATAAACAGACACAAACACGTGTTTTAGTTAGGAAAAGGTAGATGCTATGGTATGATCAAGTCATGTTTTTTATTGATAAGAAAATCGACAGTTGTATAGTTAGCTTTGGCACAATGTTATAACTACTGCAACAATCTGGACCAATCGTTTGACTCATCCAGGCCTAAATAGAGGTTGATAATGGAGATTTATCCAAATTCCAGATAATACATACTGAAAGAACTAATAGCTAGAAAATGTCTACAATTACAATTTCAAGCCTTGTGAGCTAAGCTAGGGACAGTAAATATTATTTTTTGTCCTTCCCCTCCCTAAAACGACAACTTATATCCTAATTGCAAATTCTTTGTGGCTTCTAGATAACTTGGTTTAAGCTCCAAGTAAAAAATATGTATTTTTTACTTGTATTCATGATGTCATGCACCTAAAATGCATATATGGTGTGATTACTAACCACCTGAATTATTTAATTGGACGAAGAATTAATATGGCAAACAAGCAGGATTAAAATCTCTTTCTACATAGTCTTATTAGCTCTCATACTTAATAATTATTTATTAATTAATTAAAAAAAGTTGGAAAAACTGGCCCAAGAGCAATTGCCAAACAAGCACCATTTTCATAGCAACAACCAGTTTGATTAGGCAGTCAAAATTAGCATGGTAGTCAGGTAATAAACAGTTTTTTTTTTTTTTTTTTTTTTTTTTTAAAGAGTTTTCATTTCGAATATGTCATATTTTCTTGGGTGAATGCTTTAGGGGTGTACAAAAGAAGAATTGCAACTAAAGTGGTGTTTGAATCTTAGATTTGCTTAGAGAAAAGAAAAGGATAAAGAAAAGATATGAATAGAAAATTAAGAGGATTATTTTTCTTCTTTTGTTTAGGTTAAGAAAATGAATCGATATTTGTCAAAAAATTGTTTTTTTGTTTAGTTACTAATAAAATAATTTTATTTTCATTTAATTTTACTTTCTCTTGAAGCATTGAAAAAAAAAAGAAGAAGAAGAAGAAGAAGAAGAAGAAGAAGAAGAAGAAGAGAGCTAGTTAATTTATAAAGGGAAAAGGAAAACCCCAAAGGTCCAGTAGCATGACAAACCACCAACTTCTTCAGTGACCCAAATTTATTTAATAGACCGAAGGCCCAAGGTGCGCATTATTTTTGGGCCAGATCAAATTTATCAACTTCTTGAAAAGGCCTCTATAGTTCAAAACACATTTACTTTTTTCACTAATCCTAGTTTACATTGTCGATTAATTTTGGAAGCAGTTACGAGCAGGTCATGTGAACTAGGCTTATTTATCAAAAAGTCTTACTCTAGCTTTCACTGTAATGTTTTTTTTTTCAAGCATACGATTCAACTACTTGCAGTTCCTACATCATATTTTAATACTAACTAACACAAATAAACTAAAAATTAATCTAAACTCACAAACAAAAATCAAAATATCTCAATCATTTATTAGATAAATTTATCTGTATCTTGACTGGTATCAAATAATCATTCTACAAACACAAAACACGTCTAAAAAGTCTTTATAAAAAAATTATTATGAAAACGAGAGACAAATATGTTCCAAAAAAAAATTCAAAACTTTTCAATAAAGAAGTCCAGTCAATAATACTTGTTGGTAATTATACTCTACTTTTGTCCCATAGCACCTTCCCTTGTGGGTCTGACCCATCATCAGCAGAGGAAGTTGTAAAACCAACCAATGACGGGGATGACGGCGACAGGGATGACGGATGTTGACGCAAATTTTGTTTCCAAACCACATCTATGAGAAAATCGATGGTTTTCCCTGAATCGTAGCTGATTTTTGGCGGATTTGTTTTTGTTGTTTGTAGTTTGTTGTTTGGTTGTTTGTTTGGTCCTTTAAGGCCTTATTGTTTCTATTTTAATCTTGCAGTTGTTTGTTTTATTTTAATATAACTGCTTTTCTTGTTCCTAAAAATTAAAAAAAAAATTAAAAAAAGAAGAAGGTGCTGCTAGGTTGAATCTACAATGAAAAACAAATTTGTTTGTGAGCATTACCTTCAATGTGACTGATTCTTTCAATGATATATATGCGGCCTAGAAGGGGGACTGAAAAATTACTATGGAACCCACCTAAACCCCACATGTCTTTTTGTCTAATTAAATGTTTGATTGGAAAAAACAAGTGAAATTAGTATAATGGTAATCATGAGATTAATCAAATCACTTATTATTCAATGGAACTTATCCCATATTAATGTTTTTCTCTTATCTTTCCTTACACTGAGTTCAACTATCAATTCTCATATTTGGATTTTGGATTTTGTTTTGAAGAATGGTAGGTGAAAATATTTGCACAATACTACATGGCTGCTCTAACTTAATCAAATTCTTTCTTCTTCTATTTTTTTTTTTTTTAAGTTAAGGCTTCTGTCATATACGCCCAAACACCACATGTTTTTCTTTTCTTTTCTTTTCTTTGGTAGGACATATGGGGTTGATTATTTGTTTTATATCAACTTAATCCAAAATTAAACAAATCAAACTAAGACAGTACAATCAAAATTGAATTTGGTGTCTGTCACTATAACTCCATGATATTCAATTGAATTTTTCGGACTTCAGAGCAACACAATTAATACAGTAAAATTGCTCACATGCATCGAGATTGTGTTGAGTTGGATGCCAAACAGAATACTTCATTTCAAGAATAGCCTTGGGAAACTGGGACCACATATGCACTTTCCATCTGTTTCATGCAAGAAAGTTATCTGAGAAAATTTCTTCTAGCCATCGTATTATTTTATAGAATTTAACAGGGATAGGACAGTTTTCACTTTCTTTTTAGCATCTTCCAGCTAGGTATTTCTGACAATCTCAGATATGACCACAGACACAGCAGTTTACAACATGCTGTTGATCATGTGGATAAACAGCATGATGTTTGCCAGTGAGCTTGTGGATGAGGATGGGATGAATGCGTCAAACACATTTTTATTTTATTTTATACAGACTGATGTGGTTCTAACAATAAATTAAACAAACCAAATTTCAAAGCTTTCTTCAATAAAAAAGATACATGCACAGAAACCAATTAAAAAAATCAATCACAAAACACTCACAAGGACCGGATCTGTGACCAGTTAGTATTGTTTCTTCTGTGATATTATGAGTTTTAAATGAGAAGAAAATATGCAAAAGTTGTACGCAATCGTAAGAGTATGTTATATAATTTCTCTGTCATGAGAGTGACAAAGTTTCTCCCTAAGAAGTTACATTGACACTACCTCAATATAACTATATACAAATAATTAAATGAATGAATATAACACATTAAGACAGGCACAGATGACAAAGGTAGGTTGGGAGTCTGAAGACAGAGACTACTTGACTAGATGTGTATTAATATTGATATTTAAAACATAGCCTAAATGTGTATGCATCAAACCCTTCTCAGACTCCCCACTGGTAAGATAGGAACCTTATGCAGTGGGACCGTCCCTTTTTTTTTAGCCTACTTAGCCAACAAACTACAATCAAGACATTATTTGATAAGAGAGAAATCAATGTAGAAATTTTAAAAGGTTCATTTTTTTAGTCCTAGCAGTTACATCCACTAGTCTTCCATATATGAGCAAAATTTTCTTCTACTAGCTTAGTTATATTTAGCCATAGAGATAAACGTACCAGATAGGAAAGATGGGCAACAGGCAGGAGGTACAGCAAGGTGAGAACAGCTTGCAAGAAGAGATAAGGGAGCTACTTATACCAGAAGACAAGAATCAAGCTGATGAAGAAGATGGCTATGGTGCCAAAGATCAGAGCCACAAAAGCAGTACTGCGGAGCATGAATGGATGGTTTACCTTAGTACCTTTGTCGCAGTGTGTGGTTCTTATGCATTTGGAACCTGTGTAAGTGCCAATCATTTAATCAAACTTCATTTCATGTTCACTAACGCTGAAAGAAATAGTTGAAGACATTACAAACCAAAGCACAAATTCAGAACCAGTTTCTCAGAAAAGTAGAATTTTTTGGTGGCAATTCGGAGGTGTCATAATTTGTTGGTTTTCAGGCAGGTTATTCATCACCTACTCAGTCGGCCATCACGGATGATCTCGATCTATCACTAGCAGAGGTTTGTTAAACATTAATTTTCCTTCCTGTGAAAGAGGTTATCCTGGATGTATAATGATCATATATTTCCATTATTCACAAATCCTATCAGAAAAACCATAAATCACAAAGGCTAACGAAACAATATTCATAGATGAGGATGATAAATGGTCATATCTAGTTTCTGTTCATTCAGAATAAGTCAACACAAGGCAAGTCACTCAAATCTTAACTTGAAACTTCGTTTTGCAACTCTCCTTTTGCAGTACTCATTGTTTGGTTCCATATTGACTTTTGGTGCGATGATTGGTGCAATTACAAGTGGACCCATAGCTGATTTCATTGGTCGCAAATGGGTAAGCCATGATCTATCAACCATTATACAGTCTAGAACTTCCTGCATCTTTGAAAATACCAGTAGTAATGATGTGCCAAATATGAAATGAGAGCAGGCAATGAGAGTGTCTAGCGGTTTCTGCGTTGCTGGCTGGCTAGCCATATACTTTGCTGAGGTTTGTATCATCTTACTCTTTTAAGTTATTATGAGGCCTTATTTCACAGAACACAGTAACCTGATATTTATTGCTTCATTGTTACAAAAGGGGGCTTTAGTTTTAGTCATTGGAAGACTAGCAACAGGATATGGAATGGGAGTCTTTTCCTATGTGGTACATTTCACTTTCTTTTTCTAATAATTCACTCCATGTTACTTGATTCATCGATTTGTAGGAATTTTTATGAGCTGTCATATACTATTTTACTTCACTGACGCCAATGTTTAATTGGTAACAAGGTACCTGTATTTATAGCTGAAATATCACCCAAGAATCTGCGAGGAGCATTAACAACCCTAAATCAGGTAAAATCACACACCTAAACAAATACAAGAAACTACTCTATTGATATTGGACATGGGAAGGGACAAATACAGAAGATTTTTTGAGTATGGGTTCTCATATGCAAAGTAGAGCAAATAAAATTAAAAAAAAATATATTAAAAAAAAAAAAAGTTGACAGCTTAATAAGAAAAAGAAATTAATGAATACCATACCTGATTTATTCTTACCTACTCTACAGCTCATGATTACTGCAGGTGTCTCTGTTTCCTACATAATTGGGACAGTGCTGACATGGAGAGTTTTAGCATTAATAGGTGAAATCCTGACACCTAGCAAAATATGCATAGAAAAAAAATTCAAAACTAGAGGATATTAGAGTGACCATCAAATACCAAGGTGCTGACTTGGTAAGTGCTTGCAGGGCTAATTCCATGTGCCATTCTGCTATTGGGTCTCTTTTTGATTCCAGAGTCTCCCAGATGGTTGGTAAGAACTAGAAAAAAATTGAATTATTACGATGGTACCATTATAGAGAATACGGATAAAGGAAAAGATTGATAACAATCCTAACATGAATACAGGCAAAGATAGGACATCAGAAAGATTTTGAAGCTGCACTACAGAGACTCCGTGGCAAGGATGCTGATATATCTGAGGAGGCAGCTGAAATCCAAGTTCGTGATTCTAAACTCTAAACCTTCAGTCTTCATTGAAAATGTTTCAGAGAATTTGGAAAATGATAAGCTGGGTTATGTCATTGCTTGACAGGTTTACATAGAAACCCTTCAACGGCTCCCCAAGGCCAAACTGCTGGATTTGTTTCAAAGAAGATACTTGCGCTCAGTCTTTGTAATTTATTCCTTCTTATTGAACCTATTACAGATTATCTTTCTTCATTGTCTAGCTGATACCTTTCATTCTGTAAAGTTTGATACTCAGCTCTAATCATTTTTCCCACTTCTAGTCTATTTTGTTTATCACTGTTTCCTTTCACCAGATTGGAGTTGGACTGATGGTTTGTCAACAATTGGGGGGAATCAATGGAATCTGTTTCTATGTCGCCAGTATTTTCGATGCAGCAGGTAAATGGATTTCATAATTCTCATAAATAAATAAATAAAATGAAAGAAAGAGAAAGAAGAGATGGCAGCCTGGTGCAAGCCCCTTCTGACAAGAAGGGGAGAGAGAAAATTGTGGAAGTTATAAATCTTGATTATATCCATTTTGCATCATCCATATACTTTTTTGAATCTTTACTAAAAGTTTCGTAGTGTTCATAACTTCACTAAACCTCTATTTTCCAGCTCCTAGACAGCAAATTTGACTGCTCGACTCTGAATATTATTAGTTTAATTTTATAATCAATAATTGCATAATTAATCTCACAGGATTTCCTTCCAGCACTGGAACTATAATCTACGCATGTATTCAGGTTATCGACGTGTTCTCCCTCAGTTTCCTGGAGATCCAAATATCTCTTCGTACAATGAATTGATTCAAGTGCTCTTCTTTTAGGTACCTATTACTGCTCTAGGTGCAACCTTAATCGACAAAGCTGGAAGAAAACCCCTTTTATTGGTAAATCCTAGTATGAAGTACTATTAGCTTCAAATATGCCATTCTGGTTCCTCCTCAAGTAAGGTCAGATTTTTTTTTATTCTAGGTTTCTGGATCAGGATTGGTTATAGGTTGTGCGCTAACAGCGATTTCATTCTATCTAAAGGTAATTTCCAAACAATTAATAATAAGAGCTTCGCTTGCCTTTTTTTTTTTTTTTTGGTTTTAATTTTGATCTGCAATGATCATTGTGTGGACCAGGTCCATGAAATAGCAGTTGATGCATCACCAATACTTGCTGTAACTGGCATACTGGTAATACTATCAACTCTCTAAACCCAAAATTTCCACCAATATCAATTCATTCTACACGACAACTGTTTTTCTTGGTCAGGTATACATAGGATCATTTTCAGTAGGAATGGGGGCAGTGCCTTGGGTTATAATGTCTGAGGTGCGTAAAACTGCAGAATTATAATTTCCATCTATTTGATGATTTCACCAAGCTGAGAGTTTCCTTCTATATTTGTAGATATTCCCAATAAATGTAAAGGGGGTAGGTGGAAGCTTAGCAACATTGGTGAATTGGTTCATTGCATGGTTGGTGTCCTACACTTTTAATTATCTCATGACCTGGAGCTCTTGCGGTAAGGAAATTTAACAGCTACCATTTCCAATCCAACATATTTTTTAATATAAATTATAAGAAAATAAAATTTGTGTATCTTTGCTAAAAAGAGCATAACAAAATCAAAACATAATATACCTTAAGCAGAATCCAGCAACTTGTTCGGCACATGAAAACCTGTGTTTGTATAGAGATGCGTACATATAGTAAATGCATTTGAAAAAATTCTTTACACTATATGTTAATGTGGATAATTTTGATACGTGGAATGGGAAAGGGAACCTAGTACGCCACATACTCTAAAATGTGATATGATAGGTGTAGACTTTAATTGATTACATTATACAATTTAAAGTACTTTTACGCTGTGTTTGGTTGGGGGATTTGGAGAAGGATTTGGAAAGGAAAATAGAAAAGGAAGGTGAAATATGAATAAAATATACCTACATTTCACCAAGTTTCACAAACCTTTTCCTTTTCCTTTTCCTTTTCCAAATCCCTTCCTAAATCTCCCAACCAAACACAGCATTAGAGTAATATTCTTTTAACAATTAAGCATCTAATAAATTATAATAAAATATATTTATCATAAAAAAAAAAAAAAAGCATCTAATAAAATTTTTTTTTTCTCTCAAATTAATTATATAGCAACACATTTCTATGAGCATCATAACCTATTTTTGACATTTTCTTGTATCAAAACTTCACTGACCTTATATTTTTGTTCATTATGTTTTATTTTCTTTTTTCCTCTTAAGAAAACATTTAAGAAAATATATTGAAAAGAGTTTTGGGATCATTTTGGATCACTTAATTCCCTATTTTGAAATGATAGTGTACCATGTTTTGAAACATGTGTTCCAAAACGTGATTCGCTAGGGTATTTGGGTTTTCTGATAAACATTGACACTAACTATGCATTATGCTCAATAAGAATAATTCCAACACAAATTAAGGTTATTTTGATGAAACACATATAAGAGATGTGGACTTACGCTTGATTATGTGTTTATCAGGTACCTTCATCCTTTATGGTGCAATCAACATACTGGCTATCTTGTTCATTGTTATAGTGGTTCCTGAAACAAAAGGGAGAAGTTTGGAACAGATACAGGCTGCCATCAATGTTTAAAAAAAAGGACGAGAAGGAAGAACCATTATTTCCAAATAAGTTTTAATTTGAAATTTTGAATCTCATTGAACTTCTTAAGACAGAGAAGATGGTTCAAAGCCACAAAATGAAAGGTGGAACTCAGTATTTGAACATTTTATCCATGAGACAGAAGTGAAATCATCAAGGTTTGCTTTATGTCCCTATATCATTTTGACGTACAATTTTTTCATAGCCTCATAAATGGGAATCACAAAGCAATTATATGTAACTCAACTGTTTCCTTCTGCTTACACTTTTTAGGATGTTTTTCAGTTATCTCTATGAATTAAGTCACCACAAACAGATAAGACTATTGAATTTCACATAGTTTAGTAAGGGGTTTTACCATTTTGGATCCATGGCATCTCACTCACCCACAAACTAGTAACTATGTTTCAACCTTCTCTTTGAAAAGCATATAATGAAATCCCATGCATAGACTGATAAACACAGACACACAAACACATGTTTTAGTAAGGAAAAGGTAGATGCAATGGTATGATCAAGTCATGTTTGTTATTCATGAGAAAAATCAACATTTGTATAGTTAGCTTTGGCACAATGTTATAACTACTGCAACTCATCCAGGCCTAAATAGAGGTTGATAATGGAGATTTATCCAAATTCCAGATAAGAAATACTAAAAGAACTAATAGTTAGAAAATGTATGGAATTACAATTTCAAATGATTGGGAAACTCCAAATTTATACAATCATAAACCATAGGAACTTATTGACAGAGTGTCTTGGAGGGAATAACCCATACAAAATTATAGGAAATGCATATCATCATACAAAAAGTGATTCAAACATCAAATTGAAACCTTAATGACTATAAACATGAAAAATGTAATGGAAATTTGGAATTACCTTGGAAGAATTGCGGCACTTCGACGGCACTGAATCAAAATAAGCGATCGGTTTAGGCTTCACCTGGTAAAAAAACACAAATTAGATCTTCGGAACTAATGATCCTAAAATGAAAAAAAGTTTTCCTCTCCTTTCCTCAAATCTGTTTGCTTGCTGAGAAAATATAGAATTCCTTCTAATACGATAGTGAAGTTAAGTTAATGCGTGTTTTCCGTTCTACATCAAGCAGAGGTAGCTTTTCTCGGCAACCAAACGCCAGCGATCACTCCTCTGAACATGTAACGCAAAGATGTTATTTATGCATGTACGGGTACAGGAGGGAACTACAGATTGGGTAATTTATTAGTTCGAAATGAGGGAGACATTTTTTTAATGAGAATTGTATATAAAAATATTTGTTTATATTCTTAATTAATTTATTAATAAATCTACACATAATTATATAAAAAAGAAAAATAATTAGAGTATAAGATGTCCCTAGTAGGGAAAATTATTTGGTGCTTTTAGCACGTCACGTGGCGATATTCCTCACCGATCACATACCATCATGCTTTGTCATATTTCTATTAATCCAACACAAAATTGCCTTAGGACACTCTACTTATCTCTCTCCATGATCTCTGGACTTCGTTTGTTTTTAAAGGTAGAATGAAGAAGATTAATAGTAAGAGGATTAAATAAAATTGTGTTTATTTTTATGATAGTTGTTAACGTGGGATCGTTAAATTATTACCCTATAAAAGAAATATAAAATATTAAAACAAATAAAACTATGATTTTTTCTTAACAAAAAATACAAAAATATTAAACATTAATGTTAAAAAAATGTCCAACATGTAAAAAAAAAAAAATTAAAAAACTAAGCCAAAGGACTAATTTTTTAATACCACCTCCGCCTCTTCCATCTCAATCCCAATACCAAGGCCCGTCATAATTTCATAAGATTATAAATCTCCTTTCTCAAAACAAACACAACATATAATGAGTCATACCTCCATCTCAATCTCATTTCTACCTCTATCTCCCAAAATAAATAGAACCCTGGAAATAACTCCTGCATAAAGTCGGGAATAGAGTCAAGCTTTCCCTTGAGAGATCTAATTTGTTAAAGTCAATAAGCAATGTCCCAGTACTAACTGATAATTTCTCCTCTAGTAGACCCCATAAATTACACATTGTTAATTCTCGGTAAACCTTAAGCTTTATTACAAATTAATTACACATAAAAATGTGCAGTCTTTTATGCCATAGATGATTTTTTTTTCAGATTTCTTCACTTATATTTTAAATTTTAAGTCGCATTTAAAAAGAGACTGGAATTTATTTATTTTTTTTAAAATAACTGTTGACCAAAAAAAAGAAAAGACACTAAAATTTAAGAAAATAGTTTTTGAAAAGTAGACTAAACAAGGTAATTGATATTTATAGTTTCTTAAATAATTTGAATTAAAATAAAATTTTAGAAATTAACAATTTAAATATTTAAATTCATATATAATGATGTAATTTGGAAGTTAAGATAACAAAAAAATTTAAAATTAAAGCATGTTACATTTAAATTTTAAGATATTTTTTGTGATTTCAAACATTTTTGGGTAAATTACACTGACACCCCCTGAGGTTTAGATTTATTACAGTTTCCCCCCTTACCTTTTAGAAATTACATCTCTCCTGAGATTTAAAGTTTCATTACAGATTCTCCCACAGCAATTTAATTTTTTTAAATATCAATTTTTTTCCTGATTGGGTAAATTACATTGACACTCTCACATTTTAGAAATTACAATCTCCTCCCTAAGGTTTAAAGTAGCATTACCAATTGCCACATCGGTTACTATTAGTTGGAAAAAAAAAATTCATTGGAAAAAAAATTATTCGAAAAAAAAAAATTAATTGAAAAAAAAAATTGTTAGTAAAATTTTTTAATTTTTGTTTAAAAGCCAACGTAAACTCATTTTTTGAATTTACGTTTTTTCCTCAAATTTACGAACTGAGACAACCATTTATAAACAAAAAAAAAATTATCAAATAAGTTTTTATGACAGTTTTTTAAAATTTTGTAAATATAAATTGAAAACTAAAAACGAAATTGTTACCAAACAAGCCTCAGATGATAAAAATGTCGTAAAATTAACAAATAATTAAATAAGTTTTCAACGTAAGAAATGACTTATCAAAAGATTCTTAGGCTATGCATGGTTTGATTTTTACAAAAAATTTTAAAAAATTAAAAACTAATTTGGTTAAGAAATAAAAAATAAAAAAATAATTATCATTTTAACTTTTGGGCATGTTATATACATACGTATGGTTGTTTCAATTTAATTTGTAAAAAATTATTTCTAACCACTCGAAAGATAAAAATTATATAAAAATGATAATTATTTTTTATTTTTTATTTCTTAATCAAATTAATTTTTAATTTTTTAAAAAAAAATTCTAAAAATCAAACTATACATAGCCTAAGAATCTTTTGATAAGTCATTTCTTATGTTGGTAACTTATTTAATTATTTTTTAATTTTACGACATTTTTACCATCTGAAACCTGTTTAGTAACCATTTCGTTTTCAGTTTTCAATTTATATTTACAAAAATTTTAAAAACTGTCATAAAAACTTGTTTAATAATTTTTTTGGTTTATAAATGGTTGTCTTAATTTGTAAATTTGAGGAAAAAATGTAAATTCAAAAAATAAGCTTACGTTAGTTTTTAAACAGAAATTTAAAAATTTTATTAACAATTTTTTTTTTCAATTAATTTTTTTTTCAAATAATTTTTTTTCCAATTAAATTTTTTTTCAATGAATTTTTTTTCCAACTAATATTAACCGATGGACAATTGGTAATACTACTTTAAACCTTAGGGAGGAGATTGTAATTTCTAAAATGTGAGGGGTGTCAATGTAATTTACCCAATGAGGGCAAAATTGGTATTTAAAAAAATTAAATTGCTGAGGGAAGAATTTGTAATGAAACTTTAAACCTCAAGGGAAGATGTAATTTTCAAAAAATAAGAGAAAAATTGTAATAAACTTAAACCTCAAGGGTGTCAGTGTAATTTACCCAACATTTTTTTATGGAAATGTTAATTCACATAATTTAAGCTTATGATTTTTTCTTGGCTCAATTTCAAACATTTATCCATCTGTATTCTGCAAATATATTTTCTAGAGCACTCTCCGTCTTCAAAATTACATTACAAAAAGCAAAAAGACGAAATAAACAAAAGTAAAAATATATATATAAATAGAAGAGTAATGGTAGCATATTTTTAATTTTGAAATTTTAATTAAACTCCATTAATATGACAAGAAATAAAAAAAATAAAAATAAAATAAAATCAAAATTAAAACATCACTCCCATTAAAATTCATTAACACCCTTTTATTAGAATTCCAATCATTTTTCTAAACAGAAACAGTTATGAGTTTCTTGAAGACCTTTCGGGCCATTCTAGGTCTCTCCATCACGGAGGACCAACTCACCGTCCGTCACCGGAATACTCCTATTCCCGGGGGATTAACCTTGATATCCGCCGCCACCGGCATTGAATCACCGTCCATGATCCTCCAATCCGTCGCCGTTAAACCTACCGCCTCCGTATCCGACGGCGAAATGCCCACCGCCGGTGATATTACACCGATCGGCACAGAAGTAGACTCGAGAAGCAGTGTGGAACGGTTCGCGACGATGACGGAGAGCATAGGATTTGAAAGCTTGAACGAGAGGGCCAAATGCGGCGAACTCAAGGAGGAGTCGTCACCGACGACGACGACGGAGTTAATGGCGAGAGCGAGATCAAGAGAGACAATGCGGAGAGTGAGGTTAAGGAATTTCCCGCCATTTCTTTCTATTTTGAACAGGAATGGACGGCTGAGATTTAATCTGAGTAAGGTGAGGGAGGATGGACGGTTACAGATTATACAGGTCCGAAACGATTGGCCTGAGTTTGTACGGAGTTCTCCGAGAGCCGGTCAGTTACTGATCATCGATGCTCATCATCAAGAAGAAGATGAAGAAGATGAAGCGTATTCGAATGAAGAGGAAGAGAGTGAAGATGGAAGAGGTGGTGGTGTTTCGGCGGCGTACGGAGGCGGTTTGCGGTGGTGCGAAGGGAGGAGGCGCTAGTAACGGCCGCCAGTCTCTCGTTTCATCTGTTGTGCAAGTGTAACCAACGCGTGATGGTATCTGTTTGAGTTCCACTATTCAGCCTGTTACAGTAAGAGAAATGTTTCTCTGCATTCGATCTTACTCTAAATTTGCCCCATAGTTAATTTTCTTTTATTTTTTTACCTAAAATCTTTTCACTCACAAGAAAATCATCAAAATATTTTGTTATCCATTTTAAGTAAAAGACTATAACCTACACCGTTAGATACCAAATAGAGAGTATGGATACTGAGTGAAAGATGAGATAAATGACTTGTACATTCTTTCCCAATTTTTGGATTGATTTAGACATATATATGCTATGAACTTAGAAATTTTATGCTGATTTTTATTTAAAAATATTAATATATGATTTAAATTTATTTAAATTTTAGATTCTATATAACATCAATTTAATTTCTACCGCATCTTACCCAAAAAAAAATATGGGACAGTAGACTTATACAATCTTAGAATTTTTTGTTTTTATTTTTTACTTTTTATAATTTAATTTGGCTACTACCATGCAACATTTGGCAAGCAAGTAAAAAACTATTTTTTTACAAGGATTTGTTTCAAAATTGATTTTTTAAATAAATTTTAAATTTTTTTTATAAAAATGTGTACAAAATTATTTAATAACTTGAAATAATTTTTTAATTAAAATATTTGATTCCTTGCTAAAAATTTGTATAAACAAAAAGTTATTTGAGCCTATAAAAATCTTATTCAAGGTCATGGGCCTGAGGACTTATTGTTGAATGTGATAAAGCCCAACCCAAATGGGTTTAAATAAGATTGGGCCATTTTGTTTGAATTCAAAACCCAATTCAAATTTTAAAATTTATTTCCAATAATATCTTAATATGAATTTACTAATAAAGACACACATATTAAACATTATCTTTTTTTCTTATGATACACCCTGATTAATTTTACATATTATTTCTATTCAAATCTCTTCATCTTCTACCTCAAGTTTCAATTATTTTGTCATTTTCTTCTTTCTCATTCCAAAACTTCAATTCACCCTACCAAAACTCACCATTATCATCGACATCATTATTTTTTATTATATTGTTATTTGCAAATAGAAGAAAGTTTAAACAAAATTAAACAATGGATGAGTAATCATCAAAATTATTTTTTTAAATAACCCATTAAAGATTAGGTAAGTATTCATATAAATATCAAAATACAACTATTAATTTTTGTTCTTTTTTTTTTACATAAAAGTGAATATTCAGTATGTTTTTGTTATTATTGTTTGGACTTTCAGAACCGAACAATTTTACTTTGTTCGGCCGTATACAGCCGAACAAAGTGAATTTGTTCAAACAAATTCACTTTGTTGGGTTCCAAATAATAATGACGAAAAATAAGTTGAATATTCGTCGTCCTTTTTCGCCGGTGCCGCCTTTACCAGTGTCAAGTTTCCTAATAGTATTTCATGTATGTACGTGCACAAAAGAAAAGTTTTTCAAAGTAATTTGAATTTTTTATTTTTTATTTTTATTTTTGGTATACTTCAAAAGGGTAATTTGAAAAAAATAAAATAAAATAAAGTGTACTAAGAATAAATTGTATATAATCTCAAATAATTCAATGTGATGTATTGAAAAAGGAAAATGAGTAAGATCCCCTTTTTGGAAGACCCCACAACCCCCAAAGTAATCCACACCACTGATGATGTGTGGGGCCCACTCATCTATGTGTGTAAGTAGAATCCTTGTTGGACTGCAAGATTGGGTTCATGGTGATATTGTCCAATCCTTGTTGGACTGCAAGTAGGAATGGCAACGGGGCTGGCCGGGGCCAAAGACTACACTTCCTATTCTCGATCCCCGACAGTGAGAAATTTCTCGTTCTTGTCCCCATTCTCGATCCCCGATGGGGAGCCCATTGCCCCCCTCGCCCTCACCACCCCCCCGATCGGGGATCGAGTATTCCCGATCCCACAAATTCCCCAAATTACAATAGCTGGTTAGATTTTTGATTTGTTTTGTTTTGTTTTGTTTTTTTTTTTTGATTTGTCAACATATTTTCAAATTAAAAAATCTATAAACAAAAAAATAACATCCAGTCCATCTTTAAAAACTTTGTCAACATATTTTTTTGATCTGTAAACATTCAAGTCAAACATGTTTGTCAACATATTTTTCATACAGAAGATATTCAAATAGCATATTCAAGCTCCACTTAATAGCATAATCTGACAACATTTTCAAATAATCTGTCAACATTTTTTCAACATATTCAAATAATTTGTCAACATTTTTTCGACATATTCAAATAGCATATCTGTCAATAAGGATGGCAATCTGTCAATAGCATATGTGTCAACATATTTTCAACACATTCAAATAGCATATTCCATCTAGTGGCCTATACGAAGGAAAATTCAGCAAATTGCAAAGAGAATAATTAGTCCCAAGCACAGTCCGTAAGGGATCAGCTACCCAAAAAATAAAATTAAAAAAAAAAAACAAATCCATTACAATATAAAAAACCAAATCCATCGTGAAAATAAATAAATAAGATTGTTTGTTCAATACTCGTACAACTACATCACAACTTTCATCATCTCCTTCAACTTGAATTCCTGTAAAATAACAAAAGGAAAAAAACAAATAATCAATACTAATAATAAGATGTAAAAAATGTTAACAATGAAAACAAAAAAGATGACAACTAACACAAAAGTGGCACACGACTCATCCAAGTCGATCTCATCATCATCATATATAGCCGCATAGCCCACCGATTCCAATGTTGAATTTCCTAAAAAGTAAAAAATATAAATTTCAGTATTGAAATTATTCCATGGTAATATAAAAGTGAAATAATAATATGTAGATTGGATGAAATAATAATATGAGTACCTTTCATCTCTGCACCCCATAATCAACTTTGTGCACACATTAATGCTTTTAATGTGTTTGGATGAAGTCTACTACGATGTGGACTCACAAACCTTCCACTAGTACTAAATGCTGACTCAAAAGCAGCAGTGGATACAGGAATAGCTAAAATATCCTTAGCTATTGCCTGTAAGGTCGAATATTTTGGTCCATTAGCTTTCCACGAATTCAAAACATCAAAACCTAAAGTTCTCAGCAAAACATCATCTTCTAGATAATGGTCCAACTCTGATCTACATTCTTCAATTTTTTACTTCACTTCCTACTAATAAACAAATCATACTCTGCAAGGGTCTCAGTAATAATTTCTGGATGAATAGAAGAGTCACCAATAACATCGGTCTCCATACAAACTTAGTGCTGATACTCTTGCAATTTTAAAGATTTTCATACACTTGACATTTCATACAATTTCGTCTTCAATTCTGCTTTAGTTTGTGTGTCCAAATGTACAAGTTCTTTTCACACAAAAAATATAAAAAAGCATATGCTCATCATATTTTTGAAATGATAAAAACTTCTTTACTTGCAAGCAATTTCATCACACTGAAGTTCATCTAGTGGAACAACTTTAATTTATGAGCAATATATATTAGAATTCTCACTAGGTAATATATTTGACCTTCTTCAGACTGCATAGTAATGGATGAAACATCAGACACTGAACTGTCCTTTTATATGAAAAATTTTATCTAGTACAATATGAAAAGCCAAATTTAGCACCTGAAAAGGCTAATCAATTCTAAATCTCACAAAGACATGGCTAAGCATGATTCAACAAAAAAACATGCTTGACAAAAAAACAGCATCTTCTTCTTAAAATAAACACAATCCCATTGTAAAAAGATCAATAATAAACAAATATATTTAAAATAAACACAATCCCATTGTAAACAAATGAAAATACAGATCAATAATATATATAATAAATAATCCCTCTATTTTGTAAACAGATCAATAATCCCACTGTTTTGACATATATATATAGAGGGAAAAAAAAAACAGAGGTCAAAACAGTGAATGTGAAATCCCTAGATCAATATATGTATACACTTAGATATGTATATATATATATATATATGTAAATCCTAGATTGAAATCTCTAGAGAGAGAGAGAGAGAGAGAGAGAGAGATATCCTTTCAAAATCGGCGGTAAGGTGAGGGAGGATTGACGGTGAGGGAGCAGAGAGAGCAACAGTCCCGTCGTGTGTGAGAGAGATAGAGGAAGGCGAAACCCTAAATAGCAGCGGCGATGAGGAACGATCGGCGGTGAGAGAAAGAAAGAGGGGGAGACCAAACCCTAAACAACACAGCGGGGAGCAAGAGAAAGAAAGAGAGGAGCACCGCCGTTGTTGCGTGTGTTAGTGAGAGACTACTGAGAGTGTGTCAATTTGTCAAACCCTAAACAAACACACACATTTATATACCCAGGGACATAATGGTAATTTTATGTCGGGGGCTAAACGGGACTGGGCTGGGTCCGAGGCTTGGACATGTATTCCCGTTTCTGGCCCAGATATCATTAGGGATTAATTTTTTAATACTCTTCCCGACCCGTCGGAGATATTTTTCAGAGAGTAATTGCTTAATTCGGGGTTGGAGAGTCACATCCTCATCAAGTCGGATTTAAATTGATATACCTAACTGCAAGACCGTTGTCATGCAGCTATACTGCAATACATAATTAGAACATCACTAAGACCCAAAATACAAAAATAAAAAATAAATAAAATGGGTAGTTTTGTGCCAGGCTTGTAGATTGATTGAGTGGGATTTGGATCCTCTCCGGATTTTCCTCCGGCCGGCAGTTTTGTGAGAGGCTGCAGGTGGCAGTTTAGGGATCCAATGGGTCATATTTGGCGAAACTTATAAAATTAGTTATAACTTTATATTTTGAAATTAATCAAAATATAAATGTAAGTATTTCTAACACAATTAATATTGGTCTTATTTTGCACAACTTACAAAGTTATCATAATTTCTATTTTAAAAATCTGTATCATAGTATTTAATTATACTTAGACCTTAAAAGGAAAAAATAAATTACATAAATTATAA